AGGCCTATCCCGTTTTCCATGCGCTTCATAAGTATCGGGCTCGGGATTATGGTTAATGTGGTTGGTCTGACTATTTTCGCGATAGGCTTCGGCGCGCGGGGGAACTGGGGGACCAGCCACTATATCCGGGAAGCAGGAGGGCCTCTCCAATACCGACACCTCCAACCCGTATGTGAATGAGCCGGGAAAGAGCCAGAAAGGAGAGGGAGAAACCGAGACGGCTAAGGTGAAGGGCACTGTGGATCCGGAACGACCCCAGGCCTAGAAAATGGCACGCTTTTCCCCTGTGCATTTGTACGAGCGGCGTTCCGATAGTTGTTTCGGCATCTTGTGAATGTAATACGGCACTGATCCAACTTCATGTGGATTTCCTGCCCTTAATAAGACACCTTGTATCTATAACCACACGATAGCTTGCTAGCCAATGTGGCCGAGATGTTAATGATGGAACGTTCTCTTGAGCTTGTAATCAGCTACTGAAAGCGAAGTGGACCTGAACTTTGAATCTTGGCGCAGATAACCTATCAGCGCGGGTCTATTATTATTATTATATGATAATTGCGCGTAGACATCCCCAGGATACTCTCCCTTCCAACATACCGATAAAGCGCACATCCATGGAATCGTCACTATGTCCATTCAGCTGTGTCATGCACAACGCCAGACGACCAAATATATAAGAGGAAAGAAAAAAAAAATGTGTGCAACGAAGCGAATCTCGTAGACCATGAATACCGATGCGACCCCCATGCAAAACGCTTCATTTAGAAGCAGACCCAAGTGAACCGCCATATGAAAACGGTGAAGTATGAGTTGTTGACCCAAGTAGCTCAAGAGCTAAGAAAAAGAGAAAGCAGTGCAAACTCCGTCAAGACCGCATTGGAAAAAGTCCTACCTTTGGAGCGGATAGGAGTGGTAGAGCGCAAATTCTACCGGCGGCTGGAGGACTTCTCGTTGAGGGGCTCTCCGTTCACCAGAACTTGCGGAGCCTGGTTCTCCTTACCGACGTTTCGGGCAGTAACGGTGGGCACCTGAGCTCCAGTCGCCAGAGTAGCACGACCGTTTTGCTCCTGTTCCGGTTCTTCCTCGTCCTCTGTGTCCTCGTCATCACTGCGCTCATCCTTTGTAATGCTGTTGAAGACGTAGTTCTTGAGGATGCGAAGGATCAAAAAGAGCCAGAAAAGGTTGACGGCCTGCAAGCTCGCCAGCAAGGCAAAGGTGATATATTGACTGATCCAACACTTGTATTGCTGGGTCTCCCAGTTCAGCTCGAAAGGACCAACGGTTCGGAATTCGGTAAGAACCGCCCAGAGAATCTTCAGGTTCAGGTAGTGGCGGCAGTAGATCCACATGCCAACGAACATACCGAAGTACGGCGGAGTAATGAACGAGTCAAGGTAGTTGAGTGTTTTCGAAGTCTAGTGCAATTAGTATCTATCACCAGACGGAGTTCAAGGTGCATGCATACCGCAAGGAAGAAGTCAGAGACATCGTGTGTGATGTAGACCGCAAGGCCCATGTAGGTGAAGTGGAACCGATAACTCAGGGCGATGAGAGCCAAGGTAATGATGTGATGCCCGACAAGTTCTTTGAAGTCCTTCCGGGGTTTCTCTAGCTGGAGTAAGAGCACGATGGCTTGTTGGGCCCAATAGCTCGCCTGCAACAAATAATAGGCCTTGAATAGCGCCTCATGCTCACGGTGCGGGAAACCCTCATACATCGCCCTTGTGTTGAAATACCAAATGTCAGACCTGTACATCACGTACAAACCGAATGGGCCGAAAATGCCGAAGTAGATCGCAGTGTACACCTGCTCCATGAAGCGCGCAGTCTTGCCTTTGCCGCGAATTCCGCAGTAAGTCGCCCACGGCCGGATGATACGCTGCATGATGAATTCCCGAGTGAAAGATAAGACGATAGTATAAAACGAAACAAAGGCTATGTCCTTGGGGCCTTTTCCGTACATGACCGGGCCACCAAGGGTTTTCGGCCCTTGAGGGTAGGACAAAAAGATTGCGCTATGCAGAGGGTTGGACGGGTTGGGGTTCACTGCATACAGGGCGAGCAGAACAATCAATATAAGGAGAGGTAGGAGCCATGTATGTTTCAAGCATTTGTCTTTAAAACGACGGAGTAGGGATCTGCTTTTGCGACGTTTCGATTGCGATTTGAGCGACTTCTCCGAAGACTGCGATACCTCAGGCTGGAGTGAGCATAGGGTCGGAGAAGCACTTGAGTGAGGGCAGTTGCGAGCCGCGCAATTGATTTAGACCATACCTTATCCCACTTTGGAGCATCCGTTTCAGTTGGACTCACTTCATTCATGGTCGACATTGCTGGTGCGCTGGTGTCACCTGGTATGTCCGCACCCAAGTTACTCGAACTCCGGCCGCGAGCCATGATCAGATGAAACGACGTTGAGTATTAATCCAATTTGGAAGTCGTCCTATGGGTGCCTCCCTTGACGCTCTCCTAGAGCGTATCTCGATCAGCGTCGGCGTTCGTGAGAGTGATTTTTCTAAGATTCCAACGCGGGATCCTCCGCCGTATCGGAGCGGAATCGAAGATAAGGGAAAAACAGAGTAGAATTGAAGAAGAGGACAAAGTCAGAGGAGAGAACAACAGAAAAGCACAGAAGAGATTGCACCGGCGAAAGATGAAAAGCCGTGACCCTCCTAGGTAAGAAATTGAGAACTGATGGGGTACGAGTACGAGACACCTAATTCGTTTGAATTGTCAAGAGCGCAAATTAAACCCAATCCAGGGGCGCTGTTTTTTTTTCTTCTATTTTTCTCCGCCCCGAGGTTCCACCATCAATCAACACAGCCATTCGGCGATTGACGGAGTCCCGCCCATAAGTGGGATTGTATCTTCAACTTACTCCGTATCGCAACCCTTTGTTGCTTACGCGTTCTTAGACATTATTCAGTGCACAATCAGGTCCTGCTGAAGGTCAGGTTGTACTTTATGCAACAGTGACAGACCGCCGTCATCTACGAATCTCACCGTCGTCGTCTTGAATGGCGTATTCCGACGCCAAGACTCCTGGAAGTCGACAAGACCCACATGGGATCAGCGGTATTCGATTTGAGGTGAATTTGGACCGAGGATGAAGCATTTACCGGACAAGGTGGAAAATCTTGGCTACCCATACTCAATTGTCATTTCGAATCAAAACCATCCACCCTTACATCTGCGACCTGGGAGGCTTGAGAACTGTCGGATTGCCTTCCTTCTAGAATAATGTTTGAAAAGTTCTAAACACGTCTGCTGGTCAAAATCGAAAACATTGGTATATCCACATTATACTGTGAATGATATTCCAAATGGCGGCAGCTTTGCTCAAAAGCCAGAATGCCCCCGTAGCTGGGCCAGTATGTGTGGCAGATACGCCCTGAGGAATCCGACAAACAAGAACGCATGCGCGCAGATGATCTGTCACAGACGCTGAACCCGAGTTCAACTAGGGTCCATTGATATACATGACTCCAGGATTGACCACGATGACGACTAAGACTATCACCCGGGCACGTTCCACACTGCTCCATTCTCACAATGAGAATAGTAAAGCTCGAAGCACAGAACCCTATCATAGTAGATGACGCTGACTGGGGCCCATAGTATGCGTCAATCTACCCATAAGCCCGGCGTAGCATCGGCGATTGTCTAGTTTTATGTGCCTTTCATAGTCAAGTTGACTCAAGGTACAATAGATACACGTTCGCAAGGAGATGCATCATGGCATCGGTTGGATCCCCTCCGAGCATTGATGGTCATACCTTTGGCTTAGAAGTGGTTGCTAACCCTGAGAGATCCTCACATACGAATGGTTATAGTGAAGCGCTCTCAATATCGCACGGCAGAAACTAGGTTCAGCATATTCATTGCTCCTCTATTGAACAGAATTGTTGCATGGCGGTCATTGGGTAATGCCAATTGAACTTGGAACCTTCTGCATCTGAGATCCGAAAACGCTTATCCTCTATCGCCTATTTAACTAGGTACAGACTAGGATGTCCCTTGTGTCGTCAGACTCAGGACCTGGCTCAGTCTAAGTGGCATATACTGCCCCAAAGGAGCAGGAAAATGACATGATCCACCTATGGATAGAGCACTAAACGGACCAGGATATGAATATAAAAAGGTGTACTTTTTAGGAAGGAGACTACTTACACTCGCGCCTAACCGCTCCGATTGACCCCAGTTCTGGCAAAGTGGCGCGGACCCAATATGCCCCCACTTTATCTGGTAGCGACGATGTTACTATCTCTATTGGAGCCAATGTGTGCCATGTTACGTTCTTACCAGCTCCATGCAAGGCCGTACCACTAGTGTTGAAGTGGCTGTCGATAGGGTTCCGCTGTGACAGTTCAGACATCGAACGAAGTCATTCTTGCCGTTGGAGTACTTCATACAACTAAGCTGCTGACAATTTCTGGGCTTGGAGGCAGACGACAACTCAACGGCTTCGGGAACCTCATGATTGTTAAGAACGCTAATGCTGAAGAATGTCTTTAGATTCGCCATATGAGTGTTCTGGGTGTCCTGTTGAACACCGCAGAAGGTCGAAAATGTGGCTTGTGGAATCTCCAGGCTCTCTTTTACACGCCGCACAAGCCACGTTCGCAAAGCCTACCATGGATCCTGAGTTCTTCATTAACGAATAAGATATCAAACTGATAGCACTGTAGGTTCAGCCTGGCGTGGCTTACATCACGAAGAAATCAAACTGTGCTAGTAACCATGCGCCTTGATGGAGGCCTATGTAGATGTCCCATTCAAGGTGGGGATATGATTTGTAGTAACTTCATGTTAACCTATGCGCCTCTAAAGCATCTTAACCGCATATTTGATTATTCCACGGAGGGGAAAGCGACGGTGACGACCAATCTGGGCAGTAGAGGCACCCTAGCCTCTCAAGAGAAAAGCATGATAAAGTCCGCGAAGAACTCCGAGGAAAGTCCGTTCCTGTGATTTCTCGCACTGGATGCTTTGTTATAATGGCTTTCGCACCGTTGCTGCATCAAGAAAACCTCAAAGAAGTGCTTGAGGCGGGCCTTCTCCAGCTAGGAGGGTTTGCAGCACTTTCAGGGATTCTTCTGCATACAACCATCTTTCGGATGTACTTTTGTGTAGAAAATCATATCTATAATCTATTGGGGCTCTACGCCGCGACCGTCCTATCGTTATTCTATGCATACTTCACAATCATGGTGCTTCCTCCAATCCAAATTCTAGGAAGAGTTGCCTTGCTCATCACTTCTTTCAACATCGGCCTCGTTGGTAGTATCAGCATATACCGATTGTTCCTCCACCGACTTCATCCTTTCCCCGGGCCCTTCGCATGCAAGCTCACTCGGTTCTATAGCGCCTTCCTAGCGGCAAAGCATATCCAATACAATGTGGAACTCAAAAGGCTCCATGAGCAGTACGGCGACTTCGTCCGCACAGGCAAGCTACTTTAACTAAACATCCAGAAATCATACTCTAAGCAAGCACCACGACAGGGCCTCGTGAGATCTCCATTCTCCGAACTGCAGCACTACCCCTAATATACGGTCCTCATACTGAATGTCGCAAGTCAACCTGGTACGGGCAATTGGATGTAGATCACACGAAAATATGCATGGCTTTAAGCCGCGAGTTCGACGACCATCGGCGACGAAGAAGGGCCTGGGACCGAGCTTTCAGTATCAAATGTCGGTCAATCTTACCCTTGCGGACAGTATATACCTCACTACTAACGAGCACGTAAAAGCCCTCAAGGTCTACGAACCCCGTGTCATAGCGCAGGCGGAGAAGCTCATATCGCAGATCGAAGCCAATCAAGGAAAACCGCTCGATGCGACCACCTGGTCCATGCTTTTCGCCTTCGATATCATGGGAGACGTCGGATTCGGTAGGGACTTTGGCAATCTTGCCACAGGGAATGCGCACCCCGTTATCAGTGCTGTGCATGACCATATGCGCTTCATTGGTGTCGTGAGCCACCTTCCGTGGCTTTTGAATATGCTGGGTAAGATCCCCGGCGCGGCGGCTGGATATCAGGGCCTCTTTAAGTGGTGCGCTGATCAGATTGAGACCAAGCACAAGGTATCAAGTCCTCCTTACTCTTCTGGTTAGCTGCAGATGGTGCACGAGACTGACATATACCCGATGTAATGCGACAGAGCTGGGACCACGAGAAATACCCCCAAGACATCATGTCCTGGGACTTAAAAGCTTTCATAGACAACGATATTTCGGCCCCACCGTCCGAACCGGCTCTTCATGATGACTCCCGTGTGGTGGTGATAGCGGGCAGGTACGTACTTGCTCCTGTTCTTCTCCTTCTAACGGGGGAAAAAAAAAAAAAAGAAATACAAGGAGAGCTCCCCAAACCTACCATATCTAACCAAACAAAATCAGCGACACAACCGCCTTAGCCCTAGCAAATATCATCTACTTCCTCGTCAAACACCCCCCAGTCCTCCAAAAGCTCCAAACCCGACTCGACAGCGCAATTCCGAACGGCCCCCAAAGCTGGACATACGACAAAATCAAACCTATAACCTACATCGACGACATAATCCACGAAAGCCTCCGTTTACGGCCCCCTGTCTCAAGCAGTGGATACCGTGTAACACCTGCCAAGGGCCTCCAGATCGACGAAGTCTCCATTTCAGGCGACGTGAACGTCTTCGTCCCACCGCAGCTAATCCAAACAGACGAGCGATACTACAAATTCTCCAAGGAGTTTATCCCCGAGCGATGGGGCGAAAAAAAGGTCGAGTGGGGGACTGACAAGGCGCCATATTTCCCGTTTTCTTTGGGTGAGATTTTCCTGCTTCCCCCCCCCCCCGGGCGTGTTCATTAATCTCCCATACGAACATGAAGCATAATATGCCAGGTGTAGATACGGATTATTGATACCAGAATTGATACAGGTGTATACGGCTGCGTAGGCAAGAATCTAGCTATGCTTAGTCTCCGCGTTGCGTTATCTACCCTGGCACAACGGTACCATATCCGGTTTGCGCCAGGGGAGACCGGGGAGGCATTTTGGAACGATGCGTTGGATACGTTTACCACTTTTTTGCCGCCTTTGCATGTCGTGTTTCAGCCAAGGAAAGTGTAGATACGAAATGAGTCTTGGTACTATGGCGTTCTTTGAGTTCCTTTCTCCATTCTTGTGATATTCCTGCTATGGGTATGTGTATTCAGCCACGAAGAATGAATGAGGTTTCAGCCATATGTCTCAAGTCCCTAGTTCTTTCCTATCATTCTTCCCTCCACCCCCTTAGTATCTCCTCGAGTCTCAGATCACCCAGTAACAAAAATAAAAAATAAAAATAAAAATAAAAAGCAGTCTTCAGCACAGACCATCTTGGCTTGCGGGAATGCACACTCCGATACGTCCGGATGAAGCTTTCTCCAATGCAGCCAAGAAACTGACTTATTGGCACTGAGGAGAAAGGGACGTCCCGAATCGATCGAGTCGGCTTCCCGAAGTGCGACGGTATCGGTCTGCGATTGTTGATCTGTGGCGGGTTTTATTCGGACTTGCTGGAATGATCTGCATCACGTAGTGGTGTGTTGTATGGATAGATTTGGGGTTATCGGGTTTGGTGGGTTCGTATATGTGGGCTCTATTGGGAGATGTTTGGATGCGTATCGGGATCTTAGTGGATAGTTGGTTATTTGTGAAGGTTTACTTAATGGTAATGATGTTGTGGTTTGTTGTATAGATTCTAGCATGCTATACGTGATCGAGCAGATTAATATAAAAGCACGAGTGAATTAGAAGCTATCCCATAGAAGCACTAGGTATCAAGATATCATCGTTCTCTCGTAAACATGAACTAATTAAGTCACACACATGTTCATAACAAACCCACACGAAAGGAGAGGCTTGCTAGGCTGGTATATAGGCGAGTAATTAAATAATTTTCCTTCAGAATTCAACCCCATACGTCGATTATGGGAGTCCGCCAGTATCCAATTATGCGGACTCGGAATGCTGGACGGTGCCTCCGACCTTCTTCTCCTCGTCGAAGCCGACCTGCTCCAGGGTGGCGCCGCGCGAGAATTCGTTCTTGGTCTTCCAGGCGGGAATACCAATGAGCGGAATACCGGTGGGGTCGGTGAAGATGGCCTCGACGTCTTCGAGGGTCTTACCGGCGGTCTCGGGGAACATGAAGAACACATGGATGAACATGGCAGTACAGAAAACACCGAAGACGATGTAGACCTGCCACTTGATGTTCTCGAAGGCAGGGGGGACGAACCAACCCAGAGCGAAGTTGAAGGCCCAGTTAAACGAGGTGCACAGAGCGTTGGCCTTGCCACGGACACGCAAGGGGAAGAGCTCGGGAGGGTACACCCACGAGGCGGGACCCCAGGTGATGGCGTAGGAGGCGACGAACAGATAGGTGCACGCAATGACAGCTTTGCTAGGAGGGCCGGTGATCTCCCAGGACTCTGCGGGCGTTCCATTGAGACCGCCCGGGGGAGCGGCATGACCGTGTGAGGCCATCAGACCAGCATTGGCGTACATCCAGGTCGCCATGAGGGCTGCACCAATAAGGAGAGTGGGACGGCGACCCCAGCGGTCCAGCCACAAGATAGCAGGGATGGTCATAAACACGTTGATCACGTATTGAATACTAGAAGACACCAGAAGATTGTTACCCTGCAAACCGGCCATCGCGAAGACATACGTAATGTAGTACATCATCACGTTCATGCCCGTAAGCTGGGACCAGATTTGGGTAAAGACACCGACGTGAGTACGGTTGATCATGCTCGGCTTGAGGAGCTCCATGAAGCTCACGTCGGCATTTTGACGTTCAAATTCACACATGCCCTTAATCTCCTCGAATTCGCTCTGCACAAAAGGAGAGTCAGGGTCACCGTGACCATGGACCAAGGTAAGGACGGCATGGCACTCCTCCCAACGGTCCTTGCGGGCCAGCCAACGGGGAGACTCAGGGAGCAGCATCATTCCAAGGAAAAGAAGGATGGCAGGAATCATCTGCAGACCCCAGGGAATCCGGAAGGCGGCAGTGCCCTTGATAAAGCTACATCCATATGAAATGCTAAACAGGGACCAATTATTAGTCTGGGGACAATGGTGGAAAGCTCCGAGACTAGACTTACTAGAACATAATCAGGATACCCCACGTGATGGCCCATTGCTGAAGACCAACAAGGCGACCACGCTTAGTAGGAGGGGCCTAAATGAGGGATCAGTAAATTGCTAGGAGTCAAAAGGTCAAGGTCATAGTAGATACTTACGATCTCAGAGATATAGACGGGGACCTGAGCGGAGCAGATACCGACGCTGAAACCGTTGATGATACGACCAACAATCAACATGGGGATGTTCTGGGCGGCGCAAACAAGAATACATCCAATGCACCTGGTCAACAGTTAGAGAAGTCCCAAAAGGGGCGGAAGTTTCCATTAGGCCTACCAAATCACGGAACCAATCATGATCGATTGCTTACGACCGAGCATATCAGACAGGTACCCAGAGCACAGAGCACCTAACCACGATCCACCAGCCATGGCTGCAGTGATACCACCCTGGGTCATTGTATCGGGACCTCCACATTCCTTTTCACCGTTCTCATTGATTGTCACGCTTCCTCCATTGTTGAAATAACACTTATAGGTGTTTGTGCCGATAATCGCAGACATTGACGAGATATCGAAACCGAAAAGACCACCGCCGATGACGGCGATGGCCGCAATGACATAAATGTTGCCAATAGCCATCTTGAAGGCAAGATGGAGCTCACCACTCCACTCTAAGCAAGATGGGGTAGACGGCTACCTGATGAAGACAGAAGCCACAGAAAAGGGAGTTGCGAAAACTGTGTAAATACAAAAAAAAAGTTTTACATCACTGGAGGGGACGGGCCGGTCTTAATATACCCGAGGACAGGGGACGGAAATTTTGCCTTTCGATGTCGCATCGAATGACAGCCAATTCCGTCTAAATTCTTGATGACGCTTGAACCTGTACCGACCCGAAGTGCCATAATGGGGAAAAGGGCTGCACGCCATGCGACTGGCGAGATTAGTCTCAGCTAGCGAGATTCACTGGATTCCAATCGGTGAGACAACCAGGAAACCATATCCAATCATGGATCAGACACATCATATAGACGGCCCACCGGAGTAGCTGTTCTGTCAACAATGACATAAAGTAGCAGCCTTTCGGCTGTCCGAGTCCAAAACGGACGGGTTCCTCATTCAGTAAGAATGGGGAAACCCGCGGGGAGGCAACACATGGTCTGGAGATTTCGGGACAGTGAGGGGATCAGGCCAGCGCAACCAATCCCATGATCAGGTATCCATGCAATCATTTCGCTGGGAAGATTCATTGGGAGACTGGGAAATGGAGGACCACATCTCGGGTCCACCGGCTGCGACCCTAGGCCAAGGTTGACCGTTTGAGAAGTAATCAAGGACGGAAGGGTCGTGGTCAGCATAATGCATAACTCCGGTGGATAGTGTGAGGCCGGGCTGTTGGACGAACCAGAGGCGCGACGTGGAGGGATCCGGGGAAGCCTGACCACGCGGGTTCAGACTAGTGTTCCTAAGCCGATGGGGCCGTGAAAGGAAGAGACACCGAAAGTGACCTATTGCGCCGGAGGGCAAGCACGGCGCGAGTCGTCCCCTCGAGCAAATTGCCTTCGAACAGAGCCGATTGCAGACGGATCGGCACACATCGCTTCCTTTCCCGGCCGGGGGGTTTCCCAGAGACGGAGTTCCCGTCACCGCGCTTGTTAAGTGAGGAGTAAAAAAGCAACAGAAAAAGGTCCGAGGGTTGAATAATTGAATAAAAAAAAATAAAAAAAAATTCATAAAAGGAAAAAGAAAAAGCAATATTGTGTGTAGAGTTGGGTCAATCATTCGAAGAGAGTGCCGATCGCTGACATCCATCACTTTACAAAACGAGCCTAAACTGGCACGGGAACTCCTCCTCAACCGTCTCGGAACATGCCATCGCGTAGCGGGTTCCATGGACCCGAATGGATTCAGAAAGACTAGGAGTTTGGTGAGCTCTAGTGGTGGTGGTGGTGAGCGTTGTTGAGGTTCGGTGGATGGTCGAATGTGGAGGAATAGGAGGGGCCCCAAACCCCCGACCAATTCCCCAGAACAAACAAAACAACTCCAGCCTAGAATCTTAGGCCCCCATTTGAACCGATGGTTTAACCCAAGGGAGTAAGTGAGGGTGGAGACGACCAGCTGAAAGGGGCGAAATTAAGGTGAACAAATGAAAAGGTCCCGTTTCTTTGTTCCCCAGCCCCAAGAGGGCGTTCCTGATTGGAGGAACTGAGAGCATGTGCCTCGGCCAACGTGCCATTTCCAGAATCGGAAATTCCACCAATTAGGGCAGCGGCACAACATGAGTCGTGTCGTGGAACAGATTGAAAATTATAAACCAAAACAATGTGTTGGCACTGGTAGGCTTTGATTTCGAGATGGAGGGTGAAGGAATGCTAAGAGGGGGCGAGCGAATAAAAATTCGGAATAGGGAAGGGATTCGCAAGAAAAAATAAAAAAAAAAAAAAAAAAAAAAAAATTAAATAAAAAATAAAAATTATAAGCGAAACAAAACCGACGTCACTCATACAGTTGGTGAAAAAAAAAAATCTATATGCATTTCCACAATCGCAAAATGTTCAAACAATCATCAATGCTCCCAACAGATGTCCCGTGCCATGCGAGGCAAGTCGTATGGCCAGTGGGGCCCTCGCAGCGCCCAGATACATCGACGGTTGCTCCTCGAGCACAGTTTGCATATCCCTGGCAAGGGTTCCGACGATTATTCCCTTATATTACTTAATGTCATGTTATATTGCTTCTAATATACGATGCCTGCGTCACAGCAACGGGCGTATTGCCACGTACGTATGTAGGAAGTCAATCTGTAATGCCGGACTGTACCATGTGAGGGGGGCTCGTATCCACGATACTAATTTAGCAGCATCATGATATTAGCCGACAACCTGTCCCTCCCGTAGCGGTGTCTTGTATCAAGCCACAAAGGCTTATGGCCATGAAAATTTTTTTTTCTTTGATCTTTTTTCTTCTACTCGCTATTGAGTATTTCAGATTTCTTTACGTTGTATGGTTTCCCCCATGTCAGGGGGATGAAAGATTATGGCTCTAAACTTAAACATAATTGATTTTAATTCAAGGAGTGAGATCTTGCAGCTCTATTCCCGTATGTCCCCTCTGAAGGGTCAAGGCATGTTCCTGTAATGCCTGATTCAGCCTTGACTAATAACTGGGGTCCTGGGTCAACGTAAAGAATCAATCCATGGCTATTTAGCCTTGGTACTGCCGTCCGTAGGGTTAGTGTGGTTTTCATGTTTTCCCGTTCAGTGCCCTAATTCGGTTTGTTCCACGAGGAGGCTCTGGAGATGTACTCGATCACAGAGCACATGGTCATTACAGTGTGATATGCCGTTCATTTCTAGTGCATCTTGCTACGGGGTGATAGTCGGATTCCCTCCTGGATTCATGCTTCGTTCGGGATTACGGAAGAAGCATCATTCATTATCATTAGTGTGTCTTATGCTAAGCAAATATCATGATCCCTGCTGTTGCGGAAGAAGCTTCAAGTATGAGGGATCGGGTATTAGGGAAATTCAGAACCAATAGGGACGTCGCCATGAGAGAAGCCAAGCGGCGCCTAATTTCAAGCCCGCAAGACCGTTAGGGCTGCACGCTAAATCACACCAGCTGCCACTCCGCAATGTAAGCCCACGCCATGCCTACCCGACCGACTTGCTGCCGATATTCTTCCGCGGTGACGCCCCGTGCGTCCTTTCGATCCCCGAAGCTGGTAAGTACGGCGATGGCTAGCTTCTGGCCGGGTGCGCCCAGCATCTTGGCATTCGGTACATCGACATACCAGAAGTCCCCACCTCCCCCCGGTCCCGAGCCCCGGACATGGGTGAAGGGCAGACGGTCCTCTTGCCGACCGTCGAGGCCGTGAACCATCAGCAAGAAAAGCCCAGGCTTGGCTCGGGTGTGATGCTCCAGGGTCCAGTGTTCGCAGATGAGATTGAACTGGAACCGGAGCGGGCTGGGGTCATGGATAGAGATTTGCTTGGCCGCCGGACGGAATGACCGTTCACCTATGCTGTGATTTTTTGCGTCACCAAAGATCGTCGGCTGCTCGGCGCTCAATGGTGAGTTCGGGTTGCCCAAGATGTACTCCTCCCAAGAGATCTCGGGCCGGCCATCATCCCGGAAGAAGTGAGATCGGTTGGAAGGGAAATGTCGGAGCCCGAACTCGTCATTCGAGTCGGTGAACATGGCAGGGCTGAAATGCTTCTTGTAAGGGCGACCAGGGCCCTGAACTACACCCGCACCCCAACAAGCGTCCAATAGCTTCCACTGTCCATTATCAATTCTCACTGCACTCCACGCATGTCCGGTTGCCGAGACAGGGGGTATAGGGGAGCCCGGGGCAGGAGCATCATAGCCGTATCCCTTACCGTGACCAGCGACTACTACTGCCTCGAGCCCAGCGTGAGTTGCCAGAGCGGCAAACAGGCTGGCGTATCCCTCACACACCGCCAGTCCTGACGCTAGAGTCCCGGCTGGCGTGGAAGGTTTTACACATTTGTTAAAGAAGGAATGCACATCGTATTCTATATTGTGATGGAACCAAGTGAACAAAGCTCTCGCTTTATCAGTGGGCGAAGGAAACGGCGCTGTCAGTTCCGTTGCCAGCCATGCCAGATCGTAAGATGGCAGAGATTCGCGAGGATATCGCGCTGCGTGGGCATCAGGCGCCGAGAAATCACGACACTTCAAGCACATAGTGCTCAGTGCCGTAGCTGAATGCGCGGTTTTACAAAGGCGAGGTTTAGTCGCCTGAAGTTTGGCGAGATCGACATCTGGACGTGTCGCTCTGGGAACCGGAGGTGGCACCCCGTTCGGCTGCGCTTCTTGTACACCACTATTCATCCCTTGCCCGGAGCTCTCAGTGTTCCGATTTATCCCTACAAGCCCTGAACTTTGAATCTTCTCCAGGGCAGCACTCGAAGGGGGCGGCGGAGGCAGTTTTCTCATTGATGGCTTGCCATCGATATCCGCACTTGGTCCGGGTGACTTATCGCTATTTATCCTAGAAGGTAATGGTGGTGGAGGCCGAGACGTAGAGCGGCCCCCGTTAGTTGATGTGCTGTTGGTCGACTCCCGCCGAGGGGGTAGTGCGGGACGACCCTGCGAGAGGCTTCTGCTGCTGTTTGCGGGCGACGGCCTCGGCCGTGAGGGTGGCTGAACAGTCTTCGTCTCTTGCTTTTTCGGCGGCAATGGAGGTAACTTTGCACCCCAGGCAGGTGCACGTACGCTGCGAATGGTATCCGAGTTATTAGATGTAGTCGATGCTATTGTAGCCCTTCCCGCACTCGTAGAGGTTGAATGGGAGACATCCGAGCCTAGGGACTCCCTGGATTCCTTTCGAGAGAACCCTGACGGTCTTCGCGGTGGTAGCGCTGGTGCCGATTCGGTTGACGCTTTTCGAACCGGCAGCGGTGGAGGGGCCCTTGGTTTCTGGACAGGTGTTGGTGGTGGCCTGGGCACAGGTTTTTGTTGGGCCCCCGTTGACTCGTTTCTATCCGGTGAACTATCACCGGGAAAGCCATGAGAATTGACTGGAGGATTATTGATCGTTTGCTGTCGCGAAGGGGCAGGACGCGATGCGAAAGGGGTTGGTTGCGCCCCGAGTAACGGCGACGCTGCCGGGGGGCTTTGTCCAGCCTGCGCCTGATTCAGGGCGGCGATCCGTTGCTGGATAGAAAGCACCTGTGTCTCTTCTGCCATTCTGTCCAAATCGCTCTCTATATGGTCGCCAGGGAATAGTACAATGTCACTAACAGGCAGGAAATTAAGAATGACGAATGACGGTAAATATCCGGACTCAAATGGATGACCGGATTAGGAAACTTGGCAACTCCGCATTCAGGAACCGCGACCAGGAACAATTGGAAGTTGGCGCGTTGGGCCTGTTCACTTGGGAAGGGCAAAGAAAATTTTGAAGCAGATAAGAGAGGTCTAGGGGGGGATCATAGGTTTATAACGACAACCCCTGCATCCTCTCCAAGCGAGTGGCAGCTCGAGGCTGTGACTGTTTGAGCCTCGCGGGGCCAACGATGGCCGCAGGTCATTTCATCCACCTTCATTGTTACATTCGGGTCCCGTTCTGGATTAGCCCCTGATTATATAACAGCTCTGGCCCCTTCTTCGGACGTCATGTGATGCCTGTGCTTTCGACCATTTTGTATGGCCAGCTTGAGAATTATCAGAAACTGATCTTGTCGCATTGTATTTACATGTATGCTAACTGTTTTTTATTATATTGCGAACCGTGTTCAAGTGTTCCGGTGTTGACAAACTATGACACGTTCCAAATGGGCCTCAAAGTAACCGAAATATATATGTTCTCAAAAACGGGATATCAGTACGTACTAGTCTATGGATAATAATAGTATGACTCAGTTCCTTGTGGACTCCTCAATGATGCACTACTGTATGGCCAAACCTAGGTGATTGATACTATTAGAAAGAGGTAATCCTTCAAGCTAATATCTGGAAATTCTAGTAGAAGCCTCCAGCCAGGTTGTCAGTAATTTTAAAAACCTGTTGCTTCTCACACATGTACTTCGTGGTCCCCACTGCCTAGCCCTATACCGTACTAGGCAAATGGGTCTATATCCCAAGTTCTATTCCTGTCCCAGGCCCGAGCGTCTATAGTTTTCAGTATGTATATGTGCTTTTAATACCCCGTACAAAATAATAGCCAAACGCAGCACGCGTACCAAATCGAATCAAATCGGGGAGAATAATTGTCTTATTGTTCATTATGAATGATTACTGCAACCAATTTGATATCCTCCCTGATTCCTTGCCTTTGTTCCGTCCCTTTCTGACAGTATTCAGAGCTCGCTGAAATTCTTATTGTAGGCGCTGGTTGGAACAGTGGTTCTGTGATTTGTGGAGTCATCCGATATAGGTGGATATTCTTCTATCTCCGGGCAATGTTATCCTCAGACAGAGACATCCAGGTGCGCTTAGCATCATACCAAAGTCCCACTTAAGATGCAACGCACAGCATCATGGATATCTTGTGAATTCCGGGTATTTGTTCCTTCACCTGCCTTTACCGACGCCAAGGACGAAGGCCAGAACAATGCAAGCCACTTGCTCCATGTCAAAGGCCTCTTTCAGATGGAATGGGCCGTACTGATGAAGGGTGAGAAAGCGGGGGGCATGTGTCTTCCCCAGGAGAAAGTTGCAGTAGTGCCGGTCAAGAGTTCCGAAGCTCAGCATGATTTTGTCTCGGTCTTGCGAGACCAGAAAGATCCTAGGAAGGATCCTTATATTATGTTGCTTTCGAACGAGCACAATTTCATAAAAACATACTGTCCCGGCATTGCCGGCTCTGGATGATTTTTCTGGCAAATACATACCGCTATTTGGGCTGCCTCTTGATACTGACCCTGAGGGAGAGCATCTTTCCTCTGTCTTGCCTTGCACTCTAGAAGCGCAAATACCTTCTCTGGTTCTTCATATAGATAAAGAGCCCCATCAGTGCAGGCCTGGAAACCCTTCTCTCCTAGTGCTTGAAAGGCATAACAGGTTGCGGCCCATTGCGAATACACACCAGGATTCTTCAGACACATGGCTTGAAGATAGTTAGTTAATGGCTGCGAAGGTCACAATTATCTCGTTGAAAAAGGGCACAACGTACCACGCGTTCTTTCTGTCCGAATCAACTGCAGACAACTTGAGATCTATACCGTTTCCAGTTAAGATATAGTATTAATGACATCGTGGGATCTCGAAGATTCCCAAAGGACTAGAATCATCAGGGTTCCTCAGCGTAACCGGTGCCCCATCTTGGATACTTTGGAGATACTTCTGGAACGCCGGTGTAGCCTAGAGCATTGCTTCTGCATCATCGAATCTCTTTAGACCCCCAGTGGGCTGGATCAAAGTCCACAAGCTTGCACAGCTTGCACAGCTTGCACATAATGCGTATAAGTAGGAACTAAACTTTGTTGGCCCGAGATCCTGACATGAGGTTCAATTCCTGAAGACCCATTTCTGTCCCGGGCATCTGCATCTCTGATAGCCGTCTGCCATTCCTCCTCCGTCTTAGGGATCTGGAACCTCACAGCCGACATTTTGAGAATCCCAAGCGCACTGACAATGGATAAAAAGACACGGCGGTAGTAGAATTAACATAAAAAGCGGCTTTAATGTACTGTTGAACGATGTAAACGCAGATCAAAGCATGAGGAAATCAAGAAACAAAGCCCTTCTTAAATACCCAGAGTCAGTGAGTGATGCACATCCATATTATTTACTTGTCCTTGTCATTAGCTTGCGAGATAAAGAGAGAGAAAGAAATGGCTCAGAACATTCACTAGCATCAGTTAAGCCCGTGGATGCAGGTCAATATCCTTGCAAGGTGAATTGCAGACCCTGAGATATACCTACCCTTTTTCAATATCTGTTGGATCCAGGCCTACACAAGAAGATATAGGACAACGCTATAGTAGGCCAGGCAATACTACAACTGTACGGAATTATAGCGTAGGTAATTAGAAGACAAGTTTGACTTATTGAGACACTATATGTCAGATCTGTAGATAATCTACGCCATTCTTGAACTTATGCGCCTGGTAAACTAGAGCAGTTGAATAAGTTGATATAAAAGATACTGGCCGAGTAGCCACGGGCTAACAATATACGACAAGACCAGGAAGTCTGACCTGGAATTAATCATGGCCCGGTGGATCCCAGCACATATCGGGGCTCGTGGGAATGAAAAGCGGCGGATGATCCTGTGAAGGAGGCGGACACTGATCCTCCTAGTCACTGCAGGCAAGCGCGATATTCGCCGAGGAATCGAAAAACAGTGGGCAGCACAATGTAAAGCCGACAGAACCGGGTAGCCAACATATAGACTACTCAAGGTACCATGGGTAGTCCTAAACCCACCCAACTCGCGGGAAACGACGGTCTATCAGATCCTCCCCACTTTCCCAAGTCATAAGCAAACAAATTGTACGGCAATTAGGAGAAACTCTTCAGAGGTGGGTAAATCAAGACCTACGTTGATCCGTGCCAAAGTGCGGCGAGCACTGGTACGAGCGTGGCATCTTTATAGGTTTGAAGAGCAGTGTCGCAGGGAATGATGCCAGCCAACTACATAGGCTTCCAGGTATCCCTCGATATTCACAAAGTCTTCCAAACTGGGCCAGGGGCGCGGGGCGAGGTGTATTCTACCAAGCATGCCTTCCTGAATGGCCGCTTACAGAGCCATCACGAACAACAGAAGCTCATTAGATCGAACGTCGGCTTAGAGTATACAACACCCCAGGTATAGCAACTGTGGAAAGGCTTACTGAATGGGTTTAAATCTACTATTGCTACTGCTATACAAATCGTGTGAGATATTTCACTTCATTGTGTTCTTTTCTATTCTAGATTCTTGGACCGCTTTGCTCAGAGTAACTTAGTGATAATAACAAATCCCGAAACAAATGAGCATGTTGACTGATCAAGCTGCGCTTGCCACCTGTACCTCCATTGCATACTCAACCTGATCAACCACCGTCTTTGCATCCTTCTCATTTTCTTCCTTGCCCTTCCCCTGGTCCCCTTTGTCGGGATAAAAGTCGATATTTCCATGGGCTTGGATCACACCAATGCGATCCAAAAGCGTACGGGAACGGACGTACGGATCCAGTTTCCAATAATTCTCTCGCAACCGCCGGGCGATATCCATCCTGCGATCCTTTTGCAGTGAGACATCACCTAAATTCCCCTTGCTCTTGGCGGAAAGCCACATCGAGGTTGCTTCGAAGAGTTCCTCTCCCATCTGTTGGTGCTGGGCCATGATGGAGTCTCTGGTGGCCGTATCCTGAAGTTGAGCATTCTCGTCTTGTTGAGGCTCTACATATTCGTAAGTCCAGTCTTCATCGCCGCCAAGCTCCGTCACAATCTGGGATCGATCGATAAATTGCTCCAAGTCTTGAACCGAGTTCACGAAATGTACTTTGGCGGCCACAACGGGGTCAAGCCAACCCCGGATGACCTTCCAGATTCCTGAATACAAGTATTAGCATGGGTCTGGGTAGCAGGATGGTGATGAAAGCTGTATTGGACGCACCGGAGAAGAACCAGGGGGCATTGTAGAAGAGCATATATCCAAGCGATTCGGGATAGTTCTCCTGGAAGCATTGGATGATGAACTTGACTGGAGCGTACTCCTGGGAATCGTCAGCGAAAAGAAACACAGTGTCTCGAAGGATCAGAATAGTTTACCATATTTGAAAGAGCGAAGTTTGTCAAGTCGAAGATTAGTGTCTACTCATCCAGTCCACGAATTAGCCGAGTCCATACCTCCTCATGCTCAATCGCACGTAATGGGTACTTACCATGGTTTCAACCGGAGGAACAAGCAGCAGTCGCATCAACTCGATATTATACAAAATATATGAATTGAGCGCCTTTTCAGTCTGCGCACCTGGCTTATGCGTCCGGGCTCTTACAACACAAATAGGACGACCGGATTTATCGGAGCCATGGAAAAAGCCCTTGCCGATGTGCAACTGTGCCATAAAGCCCTCTCCATCCTTTTTATCAGTGCTACTAGTGGTGCTCTGCGACTGCTGCAGTGCATGTAGCTCGCCCTTGCGGATTACCTCCTCTTCCACGTGTTGCTGCTTGCTCCACCACTCCAGTGCCGATACAAACTTGACAAACCCTTTGCTGACATCCCATTTCTCGGCACGTAAGTATCGAAGAAGGAACGTGTCTGGATGATCTTGTTTCATCATGGCAAAGAAAGCCGAGCGAAGCTCGTCCGGCTTGAGCTTGGGCAGAACTTGCTGAATCAACTTGATCTCCGGTGCACTCATCTTCATCGCTTCGAGCTCAGAAAGCAGTTTGGCAGGCACCGAAGGCGCGTCGTTGGATTTGGCTGGTTCCTCCGACCATGATAGCGAGAAGAACTTCTTGCGCTGTTTCGGTGATGTTGTGGAGGTAGTCTGGCTCTGATTTGTTTCTGTGCGATAGAACTCCGGATCGCACGATCGCAGGAAAATCGTCCATAGCTGTAGGAGTTTCTCTTCTTGGTCTTGGGTGAGGCTCCCCACGTACCCCGTTTCTATGGTTGCGATGCTCATTTTCAGTCGTATTCCGGTGGTATGGTGACGATGTTGGGTAAGAGAAGGGGTAGTTGTCAGGGCTTATACTAGTATTTGGCTGTGCAACGGCTTTAGTCAATAGCCGCCCTCGATGATCCTCGGTCCGTAATGACTTTTCGTCAATTCCGCCGGGTGGTGCCAATTGAAATATTAAATAGACCCCTTGGCTTAGTGTATATCGACA